CTTTAAAATTTTGCCAATTTTATGCATTTGCGTTTGCTTCCCTCCTCTTATTTAGGTTCTGGAATTTGCTAGCACAGATCATTCAAATGCCGGGAAATATAAATTTTCCATTGTTTAGGGTGTCTTCTGCTTTGTTTTCACTTCGTACGTTGGGCATTTCATTTGACGTCAGAGTTGAACAATTTTTTGACTAGTCAAAATTCCAATAAAATTTCCTATGAATATGTGGACAAGCGAATGTATACGAATGTATATACATAATTCCTTTATAATTAAAGCAATGTTTCTTCTTATAGTTTATTGAGCAATTCTAGGAATGACCAATACTTATAAATTTGCAGCTGGTTTTTCAAAGTAGAATTGGGAAAAAGCATTAAATGCGACATTTTGAAACCCATAAAGTATACATACATATGTACATATATACATCTTTCGATCCAAGCTATTTACATCATTAAACTTAGTAAGAACTACGAAGTTATGTGATGAAGGTCCAAGTGAAGTCGAGTTTTGGCAAATTTTAGTCGCAATTGTGGAAAAATCGGGGAAAAACTCACTCGGGCTTCAAACTCATTTTCAAAGAACTTTCTTGAAATTGTTTCAAAACGTATTACACACTTTTCGCAAACTTCCTTCTTCATTCTTGTATGAAAAATGCAGATCATACATGATATTTCTCATTATTAAATATAACTTAAGATGGTACGCATAAATTTTAACTTTCCACAATCGGAAAATGGGTGAAAAAAAAAATATCTGAAATGCAAAGCAAAAAACGGGCAAGGCTGTGTAATACCTAGTATTATATATGTAAATATGTACTTGCCATACAAATGTTCGCTTTAAAATTGAGACTATATATAGTTATATATATATATATTTTTTTTTTTGCTAATTTAGCTAATTTGCATCTTAAACATTAATGATTTTGTCTTACAGTTTGTTCTGTTTTCAGTCCTTAAAGTTTAGGGATAGTTGTTATGTCTAACTAGGGGAAGATCTTTGGTGTTATATTAGGTTCATGAACATGGTTAATAAACTATAGACTGGAATTTCGTTTATCTAGGCGGGGTAGAATCCTTTTCGAAATACTTTTATTCTACTTTTGCATTGAATACTTTGACGTCGGCCGACCGCAACCGAAGGTCTCTAAGATCCCCGAGGCCTATGGAACGGGAGGGGCCCTCCACGTAGCTTGAGTACATAAATCATATCCAATTATAAGCATATTAAACATATTGTGCTTGAACGAAAAGCAGAATTCGTACACAAAATAGCCAAAAATAGATAGAAACATTTGTGTGTGAGTGCGAAAAGTAAGAGGCGAAAAATGATTCAATTAATAGAGTGGGATTTAGTAAGTACTCCAAGCTAAGGATCTGTTAAAATAATTATTGTGGACAGATCATTTGGTTTTTCTGGTCTCGGACACTTCTGGGGAAAAAAAATTCTAAAAAAATCATAGAATGAATAATACTCTTATTATATGCACTCATTTTTAAAGTTTTTAATTAATTATTTGGCGCAAATACAATCAAACTCTAGAACAAAAGTAAATAAATAGATAACTATCTTGGGATCTTTTGGAATATTCAGCTTAAACTTGTTGCTAGCACATAAAAATAAAGCATAGCTCTATACTTATTTGGCTCGCCAGCCAATGGGTGAGCGGAGGCCGAAAATAAACCCTAGAAAAACGAGCTACTAAAAAAAAAGTAAATTTAGATATACGCAAATATACAAGCAGAGTGAGGGCAAACAAATTTGCTAAATACAATAGAGCAATCCACGAATTCTGTTTAACCTGTGTGCTGAAAAGAAGAAGAAAAAAGCTATCTAAATATATATCTAAACCCCAAACAGAGAGAATTTTCCAACAAATATTTCACACGCCTTCACAATGTATACAAAAAATCCAAACATTTATTTCGCACGCGTTCGTGCTGGAAATTTGCTAAAGAATTTCTGCTTTCGAATTTCTGTTTATTTTGTTTGCATTTGATTTATTTGAACGTTTATCTAAGTTTTTATTTAGTTTGCGTTTAGGTTTCACATTAATATCGCACTTATTAATAAATGTACCTATATACATGCTTTTGCTACAATATTGCCAATATTCACCTGACGCGCCTTTTGAATTCGACAATTTATTTTCTAGCACGCGGTTAAAATATTTAAAAATCATTTCTCACTGCTTAAGAGCGTATAAGATAGTGTATCTTATTGCTCAGCTGTGATTTTTTTTTTCAACACCCATAATTATCAGGCCAAGTGAATTGTGGACTTTGCGCTCTTCATGTTTACATATGCCATATTAGCTGGTATAGTCCCGCCTTGCCCGCAGCACCAATGAAATGAATTTTCTCAAAGAGTTTTAAACACGATTTTGACGGTAAACAAACAACTTTCATACAACAGTATTCCGCCAATTTACCACTGTTGTGGGTGGAATTCGCCAAACCGCTGAGACAGGTATTCATTAAGTTTTTATGTGGAGCTTAGAAAATATGTTTGAAGCAAATCGGGCAAAACCTTAAACTTGAATTGCATTTTCCATCAAGAAAGCTTTGATTTTGCCAATAATGTGAAACACGTCTCAAATGATTTTGTATGTAGATCCATGGAAATGAATAAGAGGGCGAAACGCTACCCAACAAATTTGTGACCCCCATTTCCACCAACGAGGGATAGATTTTGTAAAAAGTGCGAAGTACCCATCACATGAATTTTGACAAAAATCTTTGAAAATGTTTTTGAAGCCAATTGGATGGTAAAAAAAACTTTCATACAACCGTATTCCGCCAATTTTCCACTGTTGTGGGTGGAATTCGCCAAACCGCTGAGACAGGTATTCATTAAGTTTTTTTGTGGAGCTTAGAAAATATGTTTGAAGCATATCGGACACAACCTAAACTTTGCCGAAAAATTCTTTGAATCGCATTCCTACCGAAGAAATTTGGATTCTGCGAAAAGTGTGAAACACGTCTCAAATGATTTTTCGTATAGATATTTGGAAATGAATTTGTTGGCGAAACGCCACCCACCAAATTTTTGACATTTCTACGAAGGAGGATTTTCCGAAAAGTGTGAAACACCCCACAAATGAATTTGAGCAAAAACCTTTGATACTGAATGGTGAGCATTTGAATACGAATGGTAAACATAAAATTTTCATACAAACGTTTTTTTGCGATTTTTCCATACTTGTGGGTGGAATTTCCTGAAACTCCGTCTTAACGTGCACCTTCTTCACATAAGGTAACTACTACAGTGAAAATTTCAGCTTCTTACGGTTTGGGCTGTGCGTTGATCACCACTCAGTCATCAGTCATCAGTCATCAGTCATCAGTCAGTCAATCAGTCAGTCAGGACACACAGTTTTTTATATAGAGATAGAATTCAATGTCTTCATAAATACATATGCCATATATAGCACACTTGTAATTGAATTAACCTGACAAAAAGTTGAGAATCAATTAATGAATTAATTAAGTGTTTTCATTTTCTTGTTGTAAAAATAATTATACTATATATTAGCAATATACACAACAAAATTGCTGAGCATGTGTGTTGTTTTATAATTGTACTAAAAGATCTATTAGTCATTTTTAACTATTACGTTTTTTCAGATAGTTTATCGTACACTTTATAACTTTTGAGAAGACTTTTCAACGTTTCTTTGTGTTTGTTGTATTCGTAAACATTATAGTTCTACTCTTTGTACAACAGCTTGTTTAATTGATACTCTCTCGCTCTCGCGCTCCGCAAAATCTCACTACTCTTGTCTTCTTTTTCTACGCATCCGTGATCGTTAAATGCTATACTATACTTGTGTTGCTCTATCACGTTTGCGCTTTGTAGAGTTGCATTCGTGGTTCTTATTTGCAACACATTCGTTAAGGTTTTATTAAATTATACGCTGTAGAGTTATCACCTCAAATTCCTTTTTGTGTCGCATTCGTAAGCGTTTTGACATTGGCGCGAACTTTGCAAACATTGTATGCCATTAGATGTAGCCTATCTACTTTTAATAAACTTGCCATGCTCTGCAGCAAGTAGGATTTGAACGTTCTGCCTAGAGCAAAGGTCTTAGAAGCTGCCACAGCAAGCTGCAACAACTTTGCCCATGTCGTTGTTGATTTGACCAAAATAAAAAAGAAGAGAAAAATGTGAAATGAGGGGCTGTGCCACAGCATTAGCCTTCTGCTGTTTGCTTTTAACTGAACGACTGCCGCCGGCTTTGGGGCGTGACTTTAGCTGCTATTGCTGTGCAAGGGGGAAATGGGAAAGTGGAAAATGCGAAGTGGGTGTGCCTCGAGGCGCAGAATTTTTGGCGCGTGTCCAAGTAAATAGAATTGAAGCAGCAGCAAAGAGGAAGCGAATAAAGCAAATGTAAATAAGCAATTGTTACATGTGCGACGAAACCCAAAAATGGCTAATGAAATGCTGGCCAATATCTCCGGATCTGCCTTAATATATATATATATATTCCATATGCAAAGCAGCCGCTGTTCCATTTAGTTTCCATTTATATATTTTGTTTTTTAAACTAAGGCCAATTCATTTGGCCAAGCGGTTTTCTGGCTTTCCTTAGTTTCTGCCTATTTCGCTGGAATGTGCGACACGCACGCGACATTGACAAACAACAACAGCTCAGCGTATTTTCACGTCCTCTTGTCAGCCAGACGGCAAATTACAGGGAAAAAATTTTATTTTTTTCCAATTTACCCACCCCTCAAGTTAACCGCCCATCGCAGGCTCTCTACAAAACTAAGGTAAGACTGTAGTTTACTATACAGAGATAAATTAAAAATATTTGATACACATTCAAAACCCATGCAACGATTTTATTTTAAAATATTGCTAATGTGTGCGACAACATCGTGTCATGTTGGCACACGCGTTCATCTCTACGCTGTTATTGGTTCACTCTTATAAGAAACGTTAACAGTGTTTTTCGCCAGTAATATTTCTCTTGTCCGTGCGTGTTGTCGCGCCACTGTGCCGCTCCGTTCGCCGCTGGTGTTTCGCTACGTTGTGTGTTCGTAAATTATAATAAAGTGTCAAATAATTTTTAAATAATCAACAAAAAATTATGATGATGATGAGCTATTAAAGCAATTAACCGTTAAGCCTATGTATGAAATAGCATACATATCGAAAATATAAAGCGTTATATTTTGATTGCTTCGCAATAACAACAATTTGCTTTTGCTTAACACCAACAACAGCAGTGCCCGCATACACTGAAATCTGAAATCTAAGCGCCATTCCGAGTCCAAAAAAAAAGAAGTGTTGCTATTACCGCTAGTGTAGGCGTGCGTGTGCATTAGTGTGTGTGCGCGAACATGTGTTTGTGATTTCATATGTTGTTGTTACTTAGCCCATTCCGCAATCAAGTCAAATTTTTCAGCATAAAAACAAATTAAATAATTGCAAAGTGCACACAACTACTAAAAAGTCGCTGCCATTTACAGTTGAAAGGTGAGTAATACAAACAAATATGTTGAGAAATCACAAATGAAGAAAATACCGTTTTATGCGTTCTGTCTTCACGTGTGTGTATGGTGTGTGTGTGTCTGTGTGTGTGGGTGTAAAAGAGCGCGCGCGTTTGTTTTTGTTTTGATTTTGCCTTTACTTTTGCTAAATAACCAGAAATGCGGTCGTCGCCGAGACAAAAATGATTCAAATATTTGCGCTAATGTGTAAAAATACGCTGCTGCAGCTTGTTGCATGCAACGTGCGCCGACGGGAACGGCGACGGCTTTGGCGTCGGAAATTCAGCTCCCAATTCAGTTTTCATTTCATTTATGTCTTCGTCTCCTATTTTGCTTTTGAACCTGTCAGCGTGCACATTTTCTTCAGACATTGCGTTTGTCTCTCTTCTCATTGTTGCATATTTGCGGCTGTTTTTGTTTTTGTTTTTGTTTTTTTTTTATACGAAGCCTCATCATTATCTTATACGCACACAGGCGTGCACACATGTGCACATGCATGCCTGTGTTATTTGGTGCTGTCTTCTTTTTCTTTGTTTGTTTTTGATACCGGTTTTGCTCTCCCACTGCTACGCTTCTTCTCCCTGCCGCTCCTACCTAAGCACTCAGCCGAAACACGCGCTCTTCTACTCTCAATTTTGTTGTTGTTGCTATACTGCACAGGTAGTTGTGACGGTGCTCATAGTTGAGTTTACTTTTAGATTTCTTTTCTGCGCTTCTGTGCGTGTATGCTATTGTTGTTGTTGTTTTTTCTGTTTGCTTTGTCTTAATTATGTTTTATTTGCTCTCAGCAATTATTAATCTGATTTCTGATTTTCTGTGTATCCGCCTTTCGCCTTTGCCTGCGCCTATTCAAAGTTCATTTTTATTTATGCTTCCAGAATTTAAATCTTTCTCTTCTCTGTTTTCTGCTTTATTGTTTATTCTACATTTTATATATTTTTAAATGTTTGTTTTTTTCTTGTTGCCAAGGCTGTTAAACTTTGTTTTTAAAGCTTTTCGCCAGATCTGTTTTACCTTTAAAATTTTGCCAATTTTATGCATTTGCGTTTGCTTCCCTCCTCTTATTTAGGTTCTGGAATTTGCTAGCACAGATCATTCAAATGCCGGGAAATATAAATTTTCCATTGTTTAGGGTGTCTTCTGCTTTGTTTTCACTTCGTACGTTGGGCATTTCATTTGACGTCAGAGTTGAACAATTTTTTGACTAGTCAAAATTCCAATAAAATTTCCTATGAATATGTGGACAAGCGAATGTATACGAATGTATATACATAATTCCTTTATAATTAAAGCAATGTTTCTTCTTATAGTTTATTGAGCAATTCTAGGAATGACCAATACTTATAAATTTGCAGCTGGTTTTTCAAAGTAGAATTGGGAAAAAGCATTAAATGCGACATTTTGAAACCCATAAAGTATACATACATATGTACATATATACATCTTTCGATCCAAGCTATTTACATCATTAAACTTAGTAAGAACTACGAAGTTATGTGATGAAGGTCCAAGTGAAGTCGAGTTTTGGCAAATTTTAGTCGCAATTGTGGAAAAATCGGGGAAAAACTCACTCGGGCTTCAAACTCATTTTCAAAGAACTTTCTTGAAATTGTTTCAAAACGTATTACACACTTTTCGCAAACTTCCTTCTTCATTCTTGTATGAAAAATGCAGATCATACATGATATTTCTCATTATTAAATATAACTTAAGATGGTACGCATAAATTTTAACTTTCCACAATCGGAAAATGGGTGAAAAAAAAAATATCTGAAATGCAAAGCAAAAAACGGGCAAGGCTGTGTAATACCTAGTATTATATATGTAAATATGTACTTGCCATACAAATGTTCGCTTTAAAATTGAGACTATATATAGTTATATATATATATATTTTTTTTTTTGCTAATTTAGCTAATTTGCATCTTAAACATTAATGATTTTGTCTTACAGTTTGTTCTGTTTTCAGTCCTTAAAGTTTAGGGATAGTTGTTATGTCTAACTAGGGGAAGATCTTTGGTGTTATATTAGGTTCATGAACATGGTTAATAAACTATAGACTGGAATTTCGTTTATCTAGGCGGGGTAGAATCCTTTTCGAAATACTTTTATTCTACTTTTGCATTGAATACTTTGACGTCGGCCGACCGCAACCGAAGGTCTCTAAGATCCCCGAGGCCTATGGAACGGGAGGGGCCCTCCACGTAGCTTGAGTACATAAATCATATCCAATTATAAGCATATTAAACATATTGTGCTTGAACGAAAAGCAGAATTCGTACACAAAATAGCCAAAAATAGATAGAAACATTTGTGTGTGAGTGCGAAAAGTAAGAGGCGAAAAATGATTCAATTAATAGAGTGGGATTTAGTAAGTACTCCAAGCTAAGGATCTGTTAAAATAATTATTGTGGACAGATCATTTGGTTTTTCTGGTCTCGGACACTTCTGGGGAAAAAAAATTCTAAAAAAATCATAGAATGAATAATACTCTTATTATATGCACTCATTTTTAAAGTTTTTAATTAATTATTTGGCGCAAATACAATCAAACTCTAGAACAAAAGTAAATAAATAGATAACTATCTTGGGATCTTTTGGAATATTCAGCTTAAACTTGTTGCTAGCACATAAAAATAAAGCATAGCTCTATACTTATTTGGCTCGCCAGCCAATGGGTGAGCGGAGGCCGAAAATAAACCCTAGAAAAACGAGCTACTAAAAAAAAAGTAAATTTAGATATACGCAAATATACAAGCAGAGTGAGGGCAAACAAATTTGCTAAATACAATAGAGCAATCCACGAATTCTGTTTAACCTGTGTGCTGAAAAGAAGAAGAAAAAAGCTATCTAAATATATATCTAAACCCCAAACAGAGAGAATTTTCCAACAAATATTTCACACGCCTTCACAATGTATACAAAAAATCCAAACATTTATTTCGCACGCGTTCGTGCTGGAAATTTGCTAAAGAATTTCTGCTTTCGAATTTCTGTTTATTTTGTTTGCATTTGATTTATTTGAACGTTTATCTAAGTTTTTATTTAGTTTGCGTTTAGGTTTCACATTAATATCGCACTTATTAATAAATGTACCTATATACATGCTTTTGCTACAATATTGCCAATATTCACCTGACGCGCCTTTTGAATTCGACAATTTATTTTCTAGCACGCGGTTAAAATATTTAAAAATCATTTCTCACTGCTTAAGAGCGTATAAGATAGTGTATCTTATTGCTCAGCTGTGATTTTTTTTTTCAACACCCATAATTATCAGGCCAAGTGAATTGTGGACTTTGCGCTCTTCATGTTTACATATGCCATATTAGCTGGTATAGTCCCGCCTTGCCCGCAGCACCAATGAAATGAATTTTCTCAAAGAGTTTTAAACACGATTTTGACGGTAAACAAACAACTTTCATACAACAGTATTCCGCCAATTTACCACTGTTGTGGGTGGAATTCGCCAAACCGCTGAGACAGGTATTCATTAAGTTTTTATGTGGAGCTTAGAAAATATGTTTGAAGCAAATCGGGCAAAACCTTAAACTTGAATTGCATTTTCCATCAAGAAAGCTTTGATTTTGCCAATAATGTGAAACACGTCTCAAATGATTTTGTATGTAGATCCATGGAAATGAATAAGAGGGCGAAACGCTACCCAACAAATTTGTGACCCCCATTTCCACCAACGAGGGATAGATTTTGTAAAAAGTGCGAAGTACCCATCACATGAATTTTGACAAAAATCTTTGAAAATGTTTTTGAAGCCAATTGGATGGTAAAAAAAACTTTCATACAACCGTATTCCGCCAATTTTCCACTGTTGTGGGTGGAATTCGCCAAACCGCTGAGACAGGTATTCATTAAGTTTTTTTGTGGAGCTTAGAAAATATGTTTGAAGCATATCGGACACAACCTAAACTTTGCCGAAAAATTCTTTGAATCGCATTCCTACCGAAGAAATTTGGATTCTGCGAAAAGTGTGAAACACGTCTCAAATGATTTTTCGTATAGATATTTGGAAATGAATTTGTTGGCGAAACGCCACCCACCAAATTTTTGACATTTCTACGAAGGAGGATTTTCCGAAAAGTGTGAAACACCCCACAAATGAATTTGAGCAAAAACCTTTGATACTGAATGGTGAGCATTTGAATACGAATGGTAAACATAAAATTTTCATACAAACGTTTTTTTGCGATTTTTCCATACTTGTGGGTGGAATTTCCTGAAACTCCGTCTTAACGTGCACCTTCTTCACATAAGGTAACTACTACAGTGAAAATTTCAGCTTCTTACGGTTTGGGCTGTGCGTTGATCACCACTCAGTCATCAGTCATCAGTCATCAGTCATCAGTCAGTCAATCAGTCAGTCAGGACACACAGTTTTTTATATAGAGATAGAATTCAATGTCTTCATAAATACATATGCCATATATAGCACACTTGTAATTGAATTAACCTGACAAAAAGTTGAGAATCAATTAATGAATTAATTAAGTGTTTTCATTTTCTTGTTGTAAAAATAATTATACTATATATTAGCAATATACACAACAAAATTGCTGAGCATGTGTGTTGTTTTATAATTGTACTAAAAGATCTATTAGTCATTTTTAACTATTACGTTTTTTCAGATAGTTTATCGTACACTTTATAACTTTTGAGAAGACTTTTCAACGTTTCTTTGTGTTTGTTGTATTCGTAAACATTATAGTTCTACTCTTTGTACAACAGCTTGTTTAATTGATACTCTCTCGCTCTCGCGCTCCGCAAAATCTCACTACTCTTGTCTTCTTTTTCTACGCATCCGTGATCGTTAAATGCTATACTATACTTGTGTTGCTCTATCACGTTTGCGCTTTGTAGAGTTGCATTCGTGGTTCTTATTTGCAACACATTCGTTAAGGTTTTATTAAATTATACGCTGTAGAGTTATCACCTCAAATTCCTTTTTGTGTCGCATTCGTAAGCGTTTTG